GGGTAAAGTGGTGAGGTGGTGCAGGATTTTGTCCATCAACAGTATTACTTCTATTTTTTCTGAGCTTGGAGAAGGAACACCGTCTAGCTTTCTAAGCTCTAAGGTGTACAATGAACAGTCTTTGTGAGCCGAACAGTCGCGTTTGGCTGATGGGTCACTCAGTTGTGCGCCCATTGATCCAGGAATGTGACCTTGAACTGTGGGAGCTTCGCGAAAGGCTGCATCGATGGAATGTGGAGGCCGAACACCCCATGGGAGTTTGCGCAAAGGGGGGAGAGAGTGAGCATGCATCGCCTCAGCAAGCATAGCTCAACTAATTTGCTAGCGTACTTGTCCGGACCAATATTACGCTGAGTCTGAAGCTTCAGCTTGGGCCGTTGTTTTTGAACACGAGATGATTCTTCTGGTGTGAGCTCAAGGATTGCAATTTGAGCGACCAGATGAATCTGAAGGAAACATAGTGTAGTAGCCAGTATTATTGTTTGCCGCTGATTTGTTTGTCTGTTTGGTTTTCTGGCCTGCCTGCTGTTCGTGTTTGTTGTTTCTGTTTGCCATTCTATTTGTTTGCCTGTCCTTGTCTGTTTGTGTGCATATTTGTTTGTCCATGTCCCGTGTCTGTGCTGGTCTGTATGCCTATCTTTGGGATTGGGATTCTGCTTCTGCAGATTCCTTCACCTGGCCCTTTCCTCACTATCGCACCAAGCGAAAACAAGCTCAGCCAGGCGGAACAGGGTGTTGCAGATGCGGCTGAGGGCGGCCATTTGCTGCACCAGAGCCCAGAATCCGACTCTGAAGCAAACTTATTGAACCTAGAGACCTAGAATAACGAATATGCAGTATGTAACATATATACATAATGTAACATATATATATATACATACATATATGCACACTGTTTTGCTTTCCGTTTGCATCAATCCAATTCGTATGAGCTGGACCAAGTGTGTCGGAGCCACTCCTGGGATTGAGGCGGGACCTTAATGCCTTCGCTACTCGGCTTGTTCGGAGGAGCTGCAAGGTTTGCTTATTTGTACAAACTCCTCAGAAGACATCGGTGCCGTTTCTTCAGTGGTTCTCTCAGCTCCTTTGTCTCTAGGCCTGGTACTGGATCTTTTCCAAGAGCTCGTTGTCTTTTTCGGAGGCAGCAAACTAAGTGGCATCATTTGACGGGCAAAAAGGTCGCAATCTGCTTCTCTTTTCCATGAAAGGAAGATAAGCGCGACTGGGAGACCTTTGGCGGCTCACTTGATCTGGTGGATGGGCGGGGCAGATGAAATGCAATATATATATATACACACACGCTGTATATGAATGTATGTATATACACACTACCCTGATTTTGTTCTGTTCCAGACCAAGGCTGCTAGGGGGACAGCAGGGACTGATGCTGAAACCACTTGGAGAAACCGAGCATAGTGCAAGTGTGATGTTTTCCTGCTCTTATTTCATCAACGAAGCTCAGGAGTCCTACATGCGCTGTGCTCAGGCGACTTCCGTCGGCAATACCAGCAGCTTCATGGCCAGTTTCCCTTCTGATCGACATCTCACAAGGCCAGGATGTGGAGCTCCACAAGGTAGGATAAGTTTCTGGCTGTTTAAACAAACATGGGAGACATGGACATCTGCACGGCAAATACTTTCAGAAACTTTGATCCGATGAAGACTGTTGCAACTTTTTCTCGTTGTTTTTTGCTTGCAGGAGTCTGATGATGCATTTGAAGCATTCTTTAGACCGTTCCCCAGGTGAGTTCATAGCATGCAGCATGCTGGGTTGCAGCAAGCGCACTGGCTGAAATGACTTGAAAGGCATCTCTTATACCCCTGCTACCCAGTCAATGCATCTTAGGGTGGACATGTGCTCCAACTACAGGCCTGGCTCAGCTTGCCTGTAGACAGCATAAATGGTTCATAGTACGTTTCGGCTGGCACAGCCTGTTCAATCCGAGGGGCCAGTGTGTCCTCGACAGAACAGTTCCGGTTCTCTTCGGTACTGATGCAGAGGACAAAAATGGCCTCGACATACATATAACACGTCCAAGCGCATGTGTGGCGCCGGTAAGGTAAGGTACCGGGTTCGGAACCTGTATGTTTCGTGTTCACATGTTGACTCCTGTTCCCAAACGTAGTTTCAGGGATGGAACGGCCGGATGGGTGGCTTTGCTTCTTCAGGGAAACACAACCATCACAACCCCAGGTCAGTCTAGCCTTTTTGAAACCGTCGTTGTAGAAGCCCCTTGTGAGAAAGGGGATTGCCGCCCCATTGTCAGCTTGCATCATAGAATCGAGCACCTGAACTGAATCAGTTGAAAAGGAACACGCCTTCATAGGTCCGCATTGTAGACTCTGAAGAGGGTGGACCTCATTCGCCGCGGGTCTGGGTTCGCAGCTTGGTTCAAAGCGCCGCTTGGTTCGCGAGCCGAAAGGGCCCAAAGGGGTGGGCAGCGCAGCTTGGCGCGGCCGAAGGTTTGGGCAGCGCGTCGGGGACCCGAGAGAGGACAAGTGGCTTGTCACCCACTGCCTTTGGGGGCTTTCTTAGCTACTAGTAACAAGGGCATTACTACTAGTAGCAAGAAGCTACCAATAACAAGTGCATCCCTACTAGTAACAAGGGCTCGCTCTTTTTTCCCACTCAAGTGCCCAATGTGTAGATATGGCTAGCTGCTGAGAACGTCTTCAGGCGCCTGTGGCAGACATGTCAAACCAGCCATGAGCCGTTCCAGTATGTATGGGTAAGGGGTTTTGTGGCGGCTAGAATTCCTGCGTTTTTGAGAATACAAACTATGTACAAGCAAGGTTCATATGTAGAGGTCGGCACAGAGACACACTCTGACATTGGTTTTCAGTTAGCTCAATTCCCAGGTGGAAAGAAGGTGAGAGAACGGCAAGGTGGAGAGTCCGCAAATTTGTAGGTGTTTGAACAAGAGAGTTTCTCACTTGACTGCGGTGATATGCTGCAAAACGCGCGGCGGCTGCAAGTGGCTGAAGGAAAAAGGTTTGGGGGGGAAGTATCGTGGAACCACCATGGAAACAAACAAAAGAGATTGGAACAGCGTGGGCAAAAGTTCAAAATAGTCGCAGGTACGCCAGACTGATCAGGTCTGGTATCATGACGACATGGATGAGTCTTCGTTGGCTCGTGCCATCCATGCGTCCACGAGCCCCCTGCATGAGAACATGGGAAGCGGTAAAGACCCTTAGGTAGAGGGTGTGACACACACACACACACACACGTGGCCGGTTTCGGCGCACGTGCATGGAAGGAGACGGTGGCGCTGGATTTTCCGCAAAAGGCGTCGGCGTTGAGTGGAGTCGTGTCCTTTTTGGACGTAAAGCCGGATTAGTTCCTCAGCTGCTGCCGTTGCTGTGGTTAGTGGAAAGCTGTATGTGTATATTTCATGTAGACGTGAAGCTAAGCCGGAGTTGTGGAAGGTCGATGTTGAAGCCCAGGAGGTGAAAGTCGTCCACAGTTTCCAGCTCGACGGGATCGCCAAAGAAGTTGTGGTGGATGAGAGTCTGAATGGCTGGATGGGAGAGGAAGTGTTCGTTGTGCACGATGAAACGGTTGTCGACATGGCTGTAGTAAGAGAAATGGAGGGCTGTGTGCTGAAGAAGGTTGTTGTGGAGCTGGCGCCAAGAGTGCTCGATCAAGGTGATGGCAACGTTGCAAAGGGCAGGAGAGAGTTGGGAGCCAATCCCAGCCCCTCGAATTTGCTTGTATGTGTTGTTGCATGCCCGGAAAATACAAGTGTTCAGTGCAAAGGCGACAATGGTAGTGATGTCGGACGTGTGAAGGGTACGTTGTGTGGGATGTTTTGTGTAGTGCCTGCCAACATGGGAATGATGGAAAGGATTGCCGGTGGCTTTGGCGTCCACGGTCAAGGTGTGTGTGGAATGCTGAGATGGCCATTGCTGGATCATGGAGTGGACCGCATCGATGAGGCGGTGTTGGGGCACCGAGTTGAAGAAGCCGACGAGGTCATCGTTGGTCGCGTGGAGGTTGATGTCGGTGGGTGTTTGAGTGAGGTAGCAGTGGAAGTGGCGCCAAAGTTGTGGGATGGACAGTTGCCCTGGATGTTGTGGGAAAAGGTGTTGTAAAATGATGTCAAGTGCCCTGCTGGTAATACGTAGGAGGTTGCCGCTCAGAAAATGAAAGTAAGAGATGGTGGTGCGTCCTTTTTGCCATTGCTTTTTGGCTTTGAGGTGGACTATGCCGTATGGGATGGTAAATTCTTTGCGAAAGCCCCATTTGTATCGAGATCGGAGACCGGCTGGAATGGTGGCTGAGAGGTGTTCGTGGATGTTGGCTGAGGTAAGGTGTGGTAGTGGTTCGAAAAGTTCGGGGGCCTGCCATGTGTTGAGTGCTCCTGTGACGTATTGGCGAGGGCAGAACACTCGGAGCTGCCGGAGTTCGTGATCGGCATGGTGGAGCACGACCTTGTCACCTAGGTATTCTTGGAGCTGTCTGAGAAGGCGAGCTGTGAAGCGTGGATGTTGCTTGAGGTGTGTGGTGTGAAGTCGCCATTGGTGTTGAAGAAAAGGTTCCAGGTGTTGGCTCAGCGATGTGGGGAGTTGTTGAAGTCTGAGCCATTTGGTGAAGGCTGTTTGGAAAGTAATGAAGTAGCGAGCTTTGCTGGGGTAGAATGTGCTGTTCATATTGGCATCGAGGAAAATGCGGAGATGTGATGGCAGTGTCAGCTGATCCAACGTAGTGGTTGTTGGTGGTAGGTGTGGTTGGCTCGAGAAGAAGGGTTCGGAGATGAGAACAAGCACACGGAAGGTCTGAGGGGTCTGGAGGTGTGTGCAAGGTGTCTTCCCAAGCGCGGTGGTTGTGGAGCTGCGCCCGAAGTGTCTTGTGGGCAGCTTCGCGCAGGCGGTGGGTGGGAAGGTGCAGTGGGATGGCTAGATGCTTGTGTTGTTGGATGGTGGCCCGCAGCCACTGCTGACAGTGCTTGGTGAAGTCATCACGCAAGAGGAATGGCGCAGTAAGTGGGATACTGGTTTTAATTGAAGAGTCAGGTTGCGGTACTGGAGTGCTTTGTTAATGATGTGTAAGGCTCGACTGCGACCTGGCTCTTCAAGATTGCAAGCCATACGTCGGATGGCATAAACTTCAAGATCAGTGTGACGGCCGCTACGCAGTTGTTTGGCAGCTTCAAAGGAGGCCGAGGTATGTTTTGTGAGGTTGCAGAGAAGAGTGGGTGCGTGATGTTTTGTGGAGGTGAAAAGGTGTGGTTCTTTGATTGTTTGTTGTCGTCCGCGCAAGCGGCGAAAGAGCCGCTTGTGGGTGGCGAGGCGAGAGTAAAAGTGAGCTCGGTGTTTGGTGAATTGCCATCCTTGGGCTTTGAGTTTGAGGTGCTGGGAGATGAAAGGCCAGTTGAGGGGAGGCATCCTGTAGTGGTGTCCGTGAATCCGGCTTGATCGTAGTTCTCATGAGAGGATAGCTGGATGGTGGTGAAGTGGTAGAGGTTGTCATGTGAGTGCCAATAGCGTAGGGAGAGTTCAGCGGAAACCGGGATGCTGTTTTGGAGTTGGTTGAGCTTGGCTCGCCGATTGTGCTCTCGGCGGGGGATACCAATAGCTGTGGAGCCCACATAGAAGTGGCCATGTTGGTGGTAGCATCGTTGAGGCTCAATGGTGTTGAAATGGAGCTTGATGTAGACTGAATTGGAGGAGAGGAAGTTGTGGTAATGGTAAGTGTGAGGTAGGATGTGGAGCTGGCGGAAGCGCTTGCGCCATTGTTGGGATCGTTGTGTAGAAGAAGGATAGCAAAAGAGAAGTGTGATGTGGATGAGGCCCGCAGCAAAGATGGCTTCAGCACGTTCGATGTATTGTGTTTTGTGTATCAGTGTGGAAAGGGCGCGGCGGAGGTGAAACAGTTGTTGCATGTTGGTGTTGGTAGGCAGCTGCTGGCTGAGAAGACAGAGTCAACAGGCGGTTGCCGCGCCAATGCTGACGATATGCTGTAGGCTCTTGATGGTGAGACGATTCTGGCTAGCGGTAGGCCGTAACGGGTGGCAGCTTCTTTCAGCTGGTCTGTGGTAACCCTGCCCGTCTGCAAGATACGAAGAACCTCTTGGGCGGATTCTTGAATGGCAGGATCAAAAGTACTCATCCAGGTTTGGATGGCCGGAGCTGTCCAAGACTCAGGGACATCATCCTTCAAGGATGGGTGCGGCGGTTGGAGGACATCGGATAGCGCTGGTGGCTTGTGGACGGGCGGTTCTACTGGAGCCGCTGCCGGCGCACTGGGGGCAGAAGGGCGGTCAGCTTCCTTGCGGGGTGTGAGGTCGATGCCGTGGGCTTGAAGTGTCTCCTTGGCTCGGACCAAGTCATCAGTAGTGGCTTTCAAAGCTCGAAGGGCGGAACCTTTGGCTGCTGCTGGGGCATGGGCTTGGAGTTGCTGGGTGAGAAGGCTGATAAGTGGAGCGTGGAAGGCGCGAGCTTGTGTAGTTTTGTTCGAATCTCCTGGAGTAAGTGTGTTGTAAACACCGACTCTGCTATACTGCGGGTTGGAATCAACCCGCAGTACTTCCCGTGGCTGAGGGTGCCGTGGTAGGCGAGCAGCCACGGGTAAACGTCAAATGTGGGAAGGCCCGCAATGCCAACGCGACGGGGCCATTGGGTGGGTTGAATGGTGCGGTAAAGTTGGTGCCCGTGCAGGGAATTGGAATCCCAATGAGTGTCGGTGGGATGCCAGGAGTCGTCGCCGTGAATAGGTGGCTTGGGGAACGGGACAGTGGCCGGTGGTGCTGTCGGAGCTGAGTGAGTAGGGCTGTGCTTGAAAGATGTCCCGGTAGGAGTGACCGGAGCTGCGGGGCAGGGGTGGCGGAGGTGGTGGTGGGAACTCATGCTGCGTGGATGGTGAGTGAGTGTGTGGCGGTTGTGAAGGAGAAGGAGAGGGAGTGTAGGATGTGTGTGATGGGCTTGCTGCGTGCGGACTGCGTGGGCCATGGGGCGATACGTACCTGTGGGGGTGTATGGGTGGCCGGCTGAGCTCTGATGTGCAGCGTGTTGCTGTTGTTGTTGTTGTTGCTGCAACCCAGGTTGACCAGGCTGCGGTGGAACTGGTGGAAGAGCTGGTATGCGTTGTTGTCAACGAACATGCTTGGATCCGGGATGGGTCCTTCTGCAATCGGGTGATCCAAAATGCGGGTGACCAGCATGAAGAGGGTGTCGAACATCCAGCTGCGAAGAAGTAGTTCAGGTTGGTGAGTGATAGACGGCGCGAGGTGAAGTGGAGCATTGCCGGGCAGAAAACGCGCAGAGGTCGCAGTGTGAGCTTGTTGTGGAAAGCTGCAGTAGGTGTAGGTTGTGAGCCAGGCTGAGGTGGTGAGTTGCGGTGAGGGCGTATGAATGGGTTGGGAAATGTATCATCAGCAGCTGCAGAATGATCGGAGGCCATGTTTTTTGGCGGCGTAGGCAGTCGGATGAAATACCAAAGTTCGAGTTCAAGGGCGCAGGGCTGCAGTATCATCA